TTTATTGCATTTATTATTAAATCTCTAGGCGGAGATGAGGATAAACTTGAATGATTGATTCCTTGGCAATGTGTAACAGTGACAAGCTATATTTCCATGAATTAGCTAAGTGCTTAATATGCCAAGATATTTTAAGAGTGCTTTATACACTTTATCTCACGCAGTCCTCATTTACAGAGAAGTAAAAGCATGTCACATATTAAGCAATTTATTCTAGGTCACATAGTCATTGGGCATGGCTGGAAAGATTTGAATTCACTTTTGACACACCACAAGGAAACACATTATGAACAAGACTAGTAAATGCAATGAAGAAACTGTGCAAGGGGATGGAGGGATTGAGCAAAAAGGAAAAAGGACTCATGGACATGGACAATAGTGTAGTGACTACTGGGGGGCAGAGGGTACAAGGAAACTAAATGGTAATGGAAAAAATACAATAAAAGATAAAAAAATTAAAAGAAGCTGTGCAGTGAAGTTTGCTGATCTGAGTCAGAAGACATTACCACTAGTTATCTATGTGGTCTTGGACAATCATCTCTCTGGCCTATGCCTCAGTTTTCTACTATAAAATGAAGAAATGAGGCTACTTTGATATGCACCTATGTTTAAAAGTTTGTGTACTAAAGGTTATATATTCATAAATCGCCAGAATATAATTATATTATAAATTTTTTTTCGAGAAAGTGAGAAAGAGAGAGGAAATGAGGAAGGAAGAGGGGAGGGGGACAGGGAGATTTGTTTTCCACTTATTTATGCATTTATTGGTTGATTTTTTTAATTGAGTAACTCCTTTTATTTTTATTTTTGACTTTAGAGAGAAGGAAAGGGAAAGAGAAAGAGGGGGAGAGAAACATCACTGAGAAGCACAGATTGGCTGCCTTCTATACGTACCTCAACCAGGGACTAAATCTGAACCCAGGCATGTGCCCTGACCAGGAATTAAACCCAAGACCTTTCGGATTGCAGGACAACGCCCAACTGAGCCACACTGGTCCAGGGCCATTAGCTGATTCTTTTATATGTACTGACCAGGGATCGAACCTGCAACTTTGTGACAAATCGGGACAATGCTCTAACCAATAAGCTACCCGGTCAGGGCTAGTATTATAAATTCACAAGAGCCTGATTTTCTAAAAATATCTAAGCTTCTCTCATTTTTCAGAAAATTTAAATTTTAGAGGAACCTCAATGTCACTGAATCTCCTTGGGTGGCCAACCCAATCCTGCACCAACTCTTTTTGCTTTTCCACCTTGAGGCACCTATTAAAATAACACATTCAAAAGAAACATTTTCAACTCCAAGATAATTGCTAAGTAAGATATATGACTGTCCAGAAAAAGTCCAGCCATCATTAACATAATGAGAACCATTTGTGCAGCACTGATGTAACCTGGCAGCCAAGGAGAATGGACTGGAATGTGCATGCATGAACGATGATGACTTCAAGGTACTAGTCAGTGGGGATGGTGGACAATGTGGAGTGATCATGTGTACTGTGTGGCTGTCACATTCAAATAACTGAGCAAGGCAATGGGGGTATAAGGGAACTAAATGGTAATGGGGAAAAAATACAATGAAGATTAAATAGAAAAACAAATGCTGTTGGGCCTGGAAAAAACTCAGGTTCACCCCTCAAAAAGGAAAATAGATTCACATTATCATTTTAAAGGTTTTATTATATTCCATCATATGGGTATATCATAATGTATTTGACCAATCACGTATTGATGAACATTTGTTTCCATTTTTTCATTACTAAAAATACTTCTGCAACAAGCATCTTTTTAATGTTTACATGATGACTTCCATAGGATAATTTTTTTGAAAAAAAAATAGCTAGTGGTTCAAAAAGTATACACATTTAAAATATTACTGTATATTGTCAATGTGCTCTCTAGAAATGTACCAATTTTTACTCCCACTATAAGGATTTAATAATGAAAAATACACCACACTCCCAAATTTGACCATTTGGAGGGTAATTCCTCTACCCTTATGTCCTTTCTATTTGGTCTAATATTTTAAAGTAAAGAGGTAAGAAAACTAGGGACAAGATAGATAGTAGCCAAAATAGTATCTTTATATTTCAGCGCCTCACACCATAGCATAGACTACAAAGTGGAGTGTGGGGTTATTATCAATTATTTCCTCATGACTTCTCACCAGTCATAACCTAGCTTAACTGCCCCCACCTAAGTGCCATTATTACCAGTGGAAAATCCAGACTTAGGTAAGACCCTCTCAAAAAGACAGCGAGTAGAGCAATGAATCTGCATCAAAGTTTGCGTTAAGCTTGAATGTTCCTCCTCAGGAACTATTTGGATGATTCAGAAGGCCGCAGCTATGGGCAACTAGTGATTGGCAGCTTCATCCCAAAAACGTGCCTGCTCATGCATCAAGGCTGGTGCAGTTTTTTGGCAAACCATCAAATCGCCCAGGTGACTCAGTTCCCTTATAGCCAAAATTTGGCGCCCTGTGACTTCTGGCTTTTCCCAAAACTAAAATCACCTTTGAAAGGGAAGAGTTTTCAGACCTTCAGTGAGATTCAGGAAAATATGACAGGGCAGCTGTTGGCAATTAGAACTGTGTGAGGTCCCAAGGTGCCTACTGTGAAGGGGTCTGAGGTGTCATTGTCCTATGTACAATATTTCTTGTGTCTTCTTCAATAAATGTCTCTATTTTTCACATTATACGGCTGGATATCTTCTGGACAGACCTCGTATTTTGCTAAAACTCTTCCTCAAAATTCTCTTTTATTACCTTTGCTCTTTCTCCAACATTCCTCTCCCCAAAGTAGTGGCCATATTTCTGTCTTTCCTATTTCTACCAATTTCTCCAGTCTCCTCTTCCACACCTCTCACAACCTTACTGACTTATACCCAACAAAACAAATGTCCAGGAGTAGGCCAACCAATGAGGTTCTAGTTCATAACAGGTATCTTAATACAGTATTTTACTGCCAATTCCTTTAACTTCCTCTGATAAACCAATAGTCTGGAAATTCTATCATTTCAACTAATGAAGATTTTATAAAGCACCCTTCCTATCAAGTTTTCTTCCCTGCCCTGCTCCAAAGCCACTACCATATGGAGTCAATGTAACTGACAAGAGCAAGCTATATGTAACAAAAGTTATCCCATTTTGTTTCAAGTTGTATCCAGATGTATCACATGTTCCATTAAGAGGCTAACTGGAATTATGTATCAAAACATATTTAAAGTACGCATCTCAATATCCACCTTCCAAATGGTAATGTTGACTTAGACTCACTTGATCATGAAAAGAACAGTACTATTTTAACCCGCTGAGTTTCTTAAAGTTTTCAAAGTTCTTTATATACAGCATCTCAATCTTTTGTCAACAAGCAGGGCACAACTTGCTAAGGAGAAAAACCAGGTGAGAGAAAAGGAAACCCCTTAAGCAGTGAGAGCAAACAGCAGACATCAGTCATTACCCCACATACTCTTCTAGAGAACGGAGTTTAGAATCTAAATCATCATGAGGATTTGCCCAGAGTCAGTGATTCAGTATGATTACACCATTTTTAAACTGAAAGTAAAATTTGTGATTTTTCAATAAATTTATCTTAAAAAATATTCCATAAAGAATGACAAACTATTAAGACAGCAAAGGTAAAACCAAGCTATGCATTAGGAAAAACAATTCTAAATTTAACACCCTAGATTACAGCAAGGAGAGCCCTCACACCACCATTCACAAGTCTCAGTTCAAGCAACTTATTTTTGGCAAGCCAAATCACAGCTGTCAACGCTGGGTTTTTTCCCACCCCAAAATTACATAAAATATTTTGAAAAAAAATGTAGACATCTTCAACTGGGGGAAAAGTAAGTTACAAATGCCGTGTGTCGTTATAAATGCTTTTTTTTAAAAAAAAAAAGAAGTCACACGGAAGGGGGTTTAAAAAAAGCAAACAAACAAACCCTGGAAGATGCAGCAGAGCCCCCTTGCTCCCGAAATAAAACTCCTGGTGGCTGTAACAGCAGCGGCAGCGCTACTCCCGACAGAAGTTTTCAGCTGTCACTTCTAACAGCTGAGCGCTTCCTAGGAGAGAAGCGACAGGCCGAGAAGAGAGGTGGTTGTGGGAGGTCTGAAGATTTAATACTTGAAATCTTACACTCCAGGGGAAACCCTTCCGCACTTCACCTGCACTTACGGGACACCCAACAAACGCAGTCCCCCTTCCCCCAACACACGTTACACCACTCGCGCCCGTCACACTCAAGTCCAACAGCTGGAGGAATCGATCACGCTCCCTTTCTCCCCCCCACAAACTGCTCCGGGCTGCGCAGATATGGGGCTAGGGACGCAACCTGCACCTGCGAGCCCCGCAGCGGCCTCACACCTAGGGCCAGGTCCGGTCCGGTCCGCCCCGCCCGCTCCCCTGTCTCCGGCTGCGCGGCGCTTTTGCTTCTAGAGACTACTCGGGCCCCCTGGGTCTCCGCGCTCTCGAACGCGCCGGGCTTCCAGGGCCCGCGCCGCCGCCCCGGCCCTGTCACCTCCGGTCCCCCGGGACCCCGGGCCTCACCCCCTCCTCCAGCTCATCCTCAGAGCCCGCGTCCTCTGGCTGGTCCAGGTCTATGTCAAACACTCCTGCCATGTCCTCAGCTTCCCTGTCTCGGAAGTCCGGCGCTGGGTAAAAGCCGTCCCGCCTCCGTCGTCGCCTCATGGGCCCGGACCCGCCGCAGCCACCGCCGCCGCTGCCGCCATCACTGGCTGCTTGGGCTTAGTGCGTCTGCGCTTAGGCCTTAGACTGGCTCCTCAAGTTCAGCGCTAGAGCATGCGTACAGGGTTCTGTGAAGCCAAACTGTGGGCAGTGAACATGCGTAGAACTAACGCCAGGAGTCAGGTATTGGCAGAGACCTACGCAGAACCCCATCCGAAGCCGCTCGAGGAAGCTAGATCATGCGCATTGTCAACTAAAGCGTTTGATAGAGAGTGAGCATGCGTACTGTGTCTGAAGTTGATAAATTGAAATTGAACATGCGTAATTAACCTTTCGAATAGGGAAAAAACACTTTACAACAAAACTCTTCGTTGGTGGAACGTGTTCATTTGTTTCCCTTAGCTTTTTGGAATGTTTAAAGTGAGCATGAGCATAATGGCTCTCTGAAGTTTGAACAGGACAGAAACGCCGGCCCTGGGGCTGTCAGTGAGTGGGGTTAATTGAAAACTCTACGGGTTGGTGGGGAAACGGCGAGTATTGACTTTGCTGTTTACTAGGTAAGCGGCCTTGCGAAAGCCACATAACCTTTCAGAGCCTCAGTTTCCTTAGCTATAAAATGAGAATAATGATAACTAGTTTGCAGGGTAGTTCGAAAAGTGTAAGTACAGAGTATGCCTCACAAGTCCCTGCTCTTTCCAGTGCTGCACAGACCTGGTATGAGGTATTTACCAAAAAAAATTGTCCCTTTTCATTGTTAAAAAATAGTGAAGTTTTGCTGTAATATTTCATCCTTTCCAGGCTTGGTCTTCCTTGCCGTCCTACCTGAGCTAAACACAAAGTCTTTTTTATGTTACTGTAGCTACTAGGCCAGAAAGGTTATTGGTGGAGAGAGAAAGTCGTTATTTAGAAGAGAGAAAATTAATGTTAACTAAATGTATGATTGTTGAGCTAACTTCTGCGTTCTATGTGTCTCTGTGGTGGGAAGTGTATGCTATTAATTCCTTCGACCAGCATTCATTTTGTTTCGTTTTGTTTTAAATGTATGCACAGGAAAGTAGCAAATACAAATCGGACTTTGGAAACAAGCTGTGTATGAATGGATTTGGGTACAGTAAATCCCAAATCCCAAAACCATTAGAGAAAAAGAACAATTTCTTTAAGTGATTGGCTACTTAGACAACATAGCTATTTCATTTATAACACCATATACATAGGTGGCGTTTTAAAATTATGTCTTTTTATTTATGTATATTAACACATGTGGCATTTTATTTTTTCTTTATTGGTAATGTAGTGGTTCTCAATGCCTTTATTTTTCTATTACAGGTTGCTCACTTTTTTGAGGAGATAGGCCTAGTTTTTGTCTCAGCATGTCAATAGTAACAGTGCAACTTGGTCAGTGTGGCAATCAGATTGGTTTTGAAGTGTTTGATGCTTTATTTAGTGATTCACACTGTACCCAGGGGCTTTGCTCTAAAAGAGAGAATGAGGCATATCAATCATCCTGCAAAGAAAGATTCTTCAATGAAGAGGAAAATGGAGGTATGTGTGGTCCACAGTTCTCTCCTTTACTTGACATAACCAACTGCTTGCTTCAAGACCAGGCCATCCACATGGTGTTCATCTGAACTCTATCACTTTCCATCCTACTAAGGAATGACTTTGCTCTCCATCCTTTGCTTTTACATGAGCAACTTTTGCCTCTATGGTGGCATCTTTCTTCTCAGCACAAGAACATGCTCAGATCTTGCCAATCTAAAAGCAAACAAACATGCCCTGATTGGTGTGGCTCAGTTGGTTGAGCATTATCCCATAAAACAAAGGGTTGCTGGTTCATTCCCCAGTTAGGGCACATGCCTGGGTTGTAGGTTTGGTTCCCATTTGGGGTGTGTACAGGAAGCAACCAATTGATGTTTCTCTCTCACATCGATGTTTCCCTCTCTCTAAAAAAAATAAATAAATAAAATCTTTAAAAATATTTCTTAAAAAAACAAACAGAATTTATCTCTTGATTATAGCTTTTTTTTTATTACCTCTTTGCCTTCTCATCTAAGAGTCTCAAAGGATGACACTCTAACCAGCTATAATCTTGCTTCTGCCCTATACCACTGAAGCTGCTCTAAGAAGAGTTCCTAGTAATATCCTGGTTACCAAATCTATTGACTTTTTTCTTTTAAAAAAATTGTTTATTTTTAGAGAGGGGTAGGGAGGGAAAAAGAGAGGGAGATAAACTTCAATGTGAGGTTGCATCTGGCATGCCCCCCACCCAGAACCTGGCCTGCAATCTAGACATATGCCCTGACTGGAAATCGAGCTGGTGATCATTTCGTTCACAGGCCAGAGTTCAATCCACTGAACCACGCCAGCCAGGGCCATTGACTCTTTTCTTAATTCACTTAACTTCTCTATTGGGTTTGATAATATTAATTATAAAATTCCCTCCTTGAAACTCCTTCACCTTAGTGTCTGAACCTTTCTTCTCCAGTGGTTGCATCTCAGGTTCCCCTGTCCTTACTCGTATAGTTCTCTCTGGACAATTTCAGTTATTCTCATAATGTGTTACATCTTTTATGAATGACTCTCAAATCTCTAGCCTAGCCTCAGTTCCAGGCTGCAGACTGATTAGTGGACCTCTCCACTTGCAATTCCCACGTGTACCTCAAACTCAACATCTCCATACCTAGGTGCATTCATTATCTTTCCTTTAAAAGTTGGGCTGTTACTGCCCACATACCATCAAACATCAAGATCTGCTTAACTTTCCCTGGCTGGTGTGGCTCAGTGGATTGAGCGCTGGCCTGCAAACCAAAGGTTGCCAGTTTGATTCCCAGTCAGGGCACATGTCTGGGCTGCAGTCCAGGTCCCCAGTAGGGAGCGCTCTAGAGGCGATCACACATTGATGTTTCTATCCCTTTCTCCCTCCCTTAATTTATCTCCTGTATGTGTTTCTCGAAACTCTTCTGTACTTTTCATCTTCACTGTCATTTCTATAGTTGTGGCTCTTGCCCTCTCTCACCGGGACTGTTTCGAGACATTATTTCTGAGTTTTCCTGCCTAGACTGTTGTGTTAATCACATCTATCCTCCACACTGCTGTATTTAAAAAGACATCTGACTGTTTCTCCCCTGTTTGAACATTTTCAGTGGTTTCACATTGCCTAAAAGATACATTTCACGCTTTTATAGCATTGCATACAAGAACTTCCAAGAGCTGATCCCTGCCTGCTTTCCACCTCCATCTATCACTTCTTCTACCCCCTCTTTCTACATCTGCTTCAACAATCCTAAACTGCCTGTCGTGCTCATGGTATTTTGTACCTTGGAATATACTACTCCGTCAGTGTGGATTTGCCGTGGGTCATCACATGATGCAGTGGTCATGTGTTTCATCTCTCCAGCTAGTCCTTCTAGGGCTGGACTGATGTTGTCTTCAACTCTGTGTTCCCAGCACAGTACATGGCACATTGTAAGCATTTAACAGATGTTTGTAGACCTGACCCAGTGATCATTCTAGCTCACAGTGATTCAGCCTGCTTAGCAGAATGTTAGACATTATGAACCCTCCGCACGTACCTGCTGTTGCCCACCTCAATTTCTAACCAGTATGACAAATCTTTCTGTCCTCAAACTTTGGATTTGGGGCGGGGGCAGAGGACTTAAGAAGTTCGTGTTCTGTGTTAACCCAAATAAGACATATGAAATACTGTTTTGATTTTTCCCCCTTTCTAGTTCCAATTGCCCGGGCTGTACTTGTTGACATGGAACCTAAAGTTATTAATCAAACACTATCAAAGGCTACCCAGTCCAGCCGATGGAAATATGGCCAGCGTTCATGCTTCTGCCAAAGACAAGGTTCTGGAAACAACTGGGCATATGGGTAAGAATAATTCATCATGACTTTTCAGTTTAGATACAGCTACACAGTCAATTAGTAGACAGTGTAGTTACAACTGCAGAGTTGATATAGCGAGCTTGTAACCATGGAACTGGTGTTTTGAAATTTAGGGTGTCGCTTCACCCAGAAGAAACTCCTGTTCTGTCTCACATATGTCTGTGCTTCGGGTCCAGGTAATGGTGAAACCACGGATCCCTTGCAGCAGGGTTTTCCACTTCTTCACTGTCGTTCTGCCAACTCACTTATCATCAGTATAATACATGTATGTGGCAGGTATTCCAGCTAATAGGCAATACAATGAGGCAGCAATATTTCCTGGCTTCTTTGGAAAATTCCAGTGCCTGGAGCTCAATTAAAAAATTCTGATTTGATTGGCATGGGATGAAGCCTGGATGCTGTGATTTTTCAAAGCTTCCCTGGGTGATTATAATGTGCAGAAAAGTTCAGGAACCATTGCCTTGGGAGTACTGTTATGAGTATCGAATGTTATGGTGTACCACAAACTTACAGGACTGTCTGGTAATTGGAGTCTCCAGCTATAGGACTGGCCTATAACAGAATTTTCTGTACATAGCAAATTCACTCTTTTAGCAGTCCTACTCCACCTGTTAACTATGTTAAATGTGTGTATTTTATTTTGTTAAGGATCATATTTATTTATTTATTTATTAAAGATTTTATTTATTTATTTTTAGAGAGGGAAGGGGGAGAGAGAGAGAGAGAGATATCAATGTGCGGGGTTGCTGGGGGTTGTGGCCTGCAACCCAGGCACATGCCCTGACTGGGAATCAAACCTGCAACACTTTGGTTCATAGCCCACACTCAATCCACTGAGCTATGCCAGTCAGGGGATATTTGTTTATTTTTAAGAGAGAGGGGATGGGAGGGAGAAAGAGAGGGAGAGAAACATTGATGTGAGAAAGAAACATCGATCAGTTGCAGTTCTTACATGCCCCAACCAAGGACTGAGCCTGCAACCCAGGCATGTGCCCTAATTGGGAATTGAACCTGTGACTCCTCTGTTTGTGGGATGACACCCAACAAACTGAGCCACACCGGTCAGGGCTAACTTTTGTATTTTAAATTTTATGCCTTTCATGAGAAGTAGTTCACTTTCATAGATTTAAAAAGCCTTCTCTATCCTATATCTCTCTCTCTGTATTGCATATCTCTGGTTAAATTTTAAGGTGTTTATATTTGTTTCTTTGCATTGTGTAGTTACTCTGTTCATGGACCCAGACATGAAGAACCTGTAATGAACCTAATCCAGAAGGAAGTAGAGAAATGTGACTCTTTGGGTGGTTTTTTCTTCATAATGAGTATGGCTGGAGGCACAGGATCTGGACTAGGAACCTTCATTACACAGAATTTACAAGATCAGTATTCCAGCTCTTTGAAAATGAATCACATTATATGGCCTTATGGAACTGGTGAGGTATGAACATATTAATTGAAATGTTTATATTTTGCATTCTTTGCAGTTGAAATGGATGTAGGTAAAAGATTGATCTGACCCTTTCTTTGGAAATGTTAAGTTACTGCATCAGGAGTTATTATGCAATATGATACTTGCGTGAACAATTCATTTAACTTTGCTCAAACTTTTCCAAACAAATGAGGAGTCCTTGTTTTTAAAAATTGCAAAGAAGACAATTGTACATTTTCTCTCTGGAACCCATTCCTGGGTTAATCCCTCTGGCTACAAGCAGCAGGGACCTTGAGAAATTATAAAATGGAGGTGAGGTAAGTCAGTTTGGAAATGATGTAGGCAGAAAGTGTGATAGTAATGCTCGTGGCTTATTGAACCCTTACTATATACAGGGCACTGTTCTAAGTGCTATACATGCATTCTCTCATCAACCTTTACAACTCTAGGAGATGGGTATAATTATTATTCCCATTGTTCAGATGAGGTAGCTGAAGCATAGAAAGATTAAATAACTTATCCAAGATCATATAGCCAGAAAGTGATGGAGCTGGGATTTGATCCCAGGCAGGATGCCCTTAGAAACCACCCTCTAACCACTGTTCTCTCCTGCTTTTCTTATTTCTGACCTTCTTCCCTCCAGGTCATTGTTCAGAACTACAACTCCATTTTGACTCTTTCTCACTTGTACCGATCTTCAGACGCCCTCCTTGTTCATGAGAATGATGCTGTTCACAAGATCTGTGCAAAATTGATGAATATCAAGCAGATCTCCTTTAACAATATAAATCAAGTCATCGCCCATCAGCTGGGAAGTGTGTTCCAGCCTACTTATTCTGAGGAAGGCTCATTTCACTACAGAAGAAATCCATTAGGTATTGTCCTCCTGTATGTTATTAATAGGAAAGTCTTATGCTCTGAAAGCCTCAAAGTGATTCTTCCTTGGCTTCTCTCCTCTGCTTGAGATATACTAGGTCTCCCTCATCTCAAAAGCCTTCCTAAATAGCTGCTTAGCTCTCTGCACTGTCTTACTGAAAAGTTTTGGGAAGTTACTAAATTTCTGAAGAGTGGTGGATACCTACCTTCTCTGTTCTTTAGGATTTGTTCTGTCTCTCTCTTTTTTCTTTTTAACACAAACTTTAAGATATAGCCCTGGCTGGTGTGGCTCAGTGGATTGAGTGCTGGCCTGTGAACCAAAGGGTCACTGGTTCAATTCCCAGGCAGGGCACATGCCTGGATTACAGGCCAGGTCCCCAGTAGGGGGCGTACAAGAGGCAACCACACATAGATTTCTTCCTCTCTTTCTCCCTCCCTTCCCCTCTCTCTAAAGATAAATAAATAAAATCTTAAAAAGAAACTTTAAGATATAATTTACATACCAGACAATTCACCCATTTAAAGTGTACAACTCAATATTTTTTAGCATATTCACAGCCGTCATTTTCATCACTCTGTAAAGAAACCCAGCTTATCTGGCAAATAGTACCTTATCAGTTCAAACTGTCTAGAAGCAAAGGACATCACAATCTATACCCCACATCCAGGCCTAATCTCTTTCCCAACTAGTTACCTGTTCCAGTTTTCTTAGTTGACTCCACCATCGTCCCTTCCTCTTCCTTCTCCTTCTTCTTCAAATTTAGCATGTTCTGAATAGATTCATCATTTTTCCCTGTCTTCTTCTCTCCTGCCACCTCTCCCTCACTTCCTGTCACCCGATTTCTCCCACCGTCCTCATATCTCATCAGTATGCCCAACCTGTGGGTTCGATCTCTGTCGTCTGTCTGCATTCTTCCCCTACGCCCCTGCCTCTCTAACATTGGTTCAGAGTGTCAACACCTCTCAACTAATACCGCATACAAACACAAGGCACACCAGCCCCTTTCTATTCTCATTTTATTTTATTTTTGGAATAAAAACAGAAACTTACATCCATGAGGACATTCCTGTGTTAAGGTGGCCCTAATGCTGCTTTCCTTCTGGGGGCCTGCCTCTCCCCGCTGCAGTCCCTGTTGGACACTGAGCCGGAATGAGCCTCCCTAGTGCACAGATTTAACCCTTGCTCTCTCTCACGCTCAGTCTATGGCTCACGCATTACTTGCCAGTTTTGTCAGAATGCCTTAGTCTGACCTCTGCATTATGCCCTGAACCCCAATTTTCTAGCTTCATTACCTGTTGCCTCCTCTGCATGGATCCCCGCCTGCTTTTTATCCCACCTGCACTGTTTGTCTTCAGTCTGGTACGTTCCTGCCCTGGTCCCTTTGCTCACTGCTCCTTCTCCGTAGAAATTGCTACCTCCTTCCCTTCTTCACCTCTACTGAAACCTTACTCATCCTTCAGGCTCCAATTCAAGAGGTGAGTTTTCTGCAAAGCTTTTCTACTGAGGCCTTTGCCTAAAGTAACTCTCTTCTCTGTGATCTCCGGTGGTATTCTTTACTTCTTTTATGTCATGTAATGTTTTCTGCCTTTATTATTTCTTTGTGTGTTTGCTTATCTTTAAAAGTTACACACACATTCATTCAAGGAGTACGAAAGGATATGCAGTCAAAAATATACCTCCCTCCCACCCCCAACTCCTCCCCAAGTGTAACCAGTACCATTTATCCCCGTAGAGAGGAATCCTGTCCTGTGTATGTTTTGTTAATGTCCCACATTCCACAGTACTTCCCATATTGCAGATCTGCTCATTCAATCAATATCTATTGATTTCTTGTTACATGTCAGGCACTGTGATAAACATTAGGGATCCAGTGGGGAGCCAGTGCATACATTGTTTTCACTATGAAAGAGAGACATTAACAAATATAACACACGACTGTATAACTAAAAATGAGTTAAATGCTCTGAAGGAAAAAGGTGCAGTTCTAACACAATGTGTCATGAAAGAACCAGACTTAGACTGAAGGGGCAGACAAGGCTGCCTGGAGGAGATACCACTTGAGCCAAGAGCTGGATGAGAACTTGTAGTTCACTAAGCAAAGGGAGGGAGAAGGAAATAGCACAAAGGGAGGGAATGGCATGTGCAAAGGCCCTGTGGCAGAAGGAAGCATGGCCCATCAAGACCAGAGAGAAATCCAGTGCTGCTGGGGCACAGCAAGTGATGGAGGAGATGATTGGAATGAGCCTAGAGTGGTAAGCAGGGGTGGACCTTGTAGGTTCTGGTAAGTCATGTGAAGGCCTTCCTCATTAACCTGAGAACAGGGGAAAGCCATGGAAAAATTTTAACCAGGTTGGCGACATAATCATTTACTTTTGAAAAGGTCCACTGGACTGTGGGTGGAGAGCCCATGGGAGGTTGAGACTGCAGGCTGGGGTGGTCATTGCCCGGAGATGCCGCGCGGTGGCTCGATCACACCGACCCGCACTGAGAAAGTAAAGGCCATCTGTTAGAGGGGTGCTCCCTTGACCCCCACGAGTAGGTCTACAGACTTTACATTTGCCCTTCGCCTTGTGTCGCAGTGGGGGCAGGTCCTGCTCCTGTCAAAAGCCAACTTCTCACTTCGGTTCTGAGACCCATTCCCTCCCCTTCTCAGGGACTTAATTCCTTACTCATCTCTCATCTTCCCACATCATTAACTTGTACCTCTTCCCTGGGTTACTCCCCTTATGACAACTTTCTGGCTCCTCTCACACTGAGAAAACCCTCCCCTGACATGACCACCGATAGCTGATGACCCCATTTCTCAGTCATTCTTTAAAACCACCATCCTCAAAGGTCTGTCTCTCCTTGCTGTCCTCATTTCCTCAACACGTAGTCACTCTTCAGCCCACTCTGATCTAGTTTCTCCCCCACCACTTCCCTGAAATTGTTTTTTATATGTCACAAACGTGCCCACACTGCCAAATTCAGTGGCTACCTCACTGTTCTCGTTTCCATCAACCCTCAGTGGACACCGACATGCCTGACCCTTGTTTTCCAAGTGTCCTCTTTGTGTTTTGTGACAGCCCCTCCTAACTTTTCTCCTATCTCCATGACTACTCCTTCTGTTCCCCCTTTCCCTCCTTTTTCCAAGCTCTAAATGCTGGGCTTGGACCCTCGCCCCAGCCCCATGGCTTTAAACGCCATGTGTGTTCTCCAACCTGCCAGTTTGTCTGCAAGTCTGACCAATTCCCAAAGCTCCAGAGCTCTGTACCCAGCAGCCTTCCTGACCTCTGCATATACGCATTTCACGGACATTCCAAACATACCGTGTGTAACACAGGTCTCTTAGCTTTCCGCCAGGAGCGTGTCTCCTCAATCCTTCAATTGCTCAATTTTTAAAAAATATATATCTCTTGCTGATTTTAATTGAGGGGGGAGGGAGAGAGAAAGACATCGATTTGTTGTTCCACATATTTATGCATTCATTGGTTGATTCTTGTATGTGCCCTAACTGGGGATCGAACCCATAGCCCTGGTGTGTCAGGCACCCTAACTGACTGAGATACCCAGCTGTGACTCAATAGCTCAATATTTAAAACTTAGGTCCACTAAGACCTCAATACCCACGTTGTTCTGCTCAGGTGTTTGAGGAAACATCATCTCAACAAAGCCACTGGAGATCGTGAATTCCGAGGGGTCCCAATCTGCCATGTGGGTGACTTTCATTAGCTGTGCTGTCACAGGCACAGGCAGTGTGAGGCATGGGGCTGGTCCAGATTGGATTTCCCACCAGAAAGATCTGATGAAGAGACAGGGGCACAGAGCTGCACAGGGAAGGAAGTGAAGAAAGGGGAAGACTGATGGGTTGAGGAGGCAGGCGTTCAAGGATTAGTCTGTCCTAGTCTGCTCGGGCTACTGTGACAAAAATACCACAGGCCGAGTGGCATTTAAACAACATGCGTTTGTTTCTCACAGTTCTGATTATTATTTCATTAGACAAAATAAATTACAGATCTAGGACAATTTCTAAAGAACTATTTAGTGAATACAGAATGACAATAAAAAGCATATTAACTTTCATGCTTACTTTGTTTTCCTGGGGTTTAGCTAAATATTTTGTTCATATTTCCAGTTACTTGGCTTCTAAACTCTCATTTCCTTTTTGGCAGAGTGTTATTTCTCACTCATGCTAAAATTGGTGCCAAAATCCAACAAATACATGGTCTTTAATAGATTGTCTCTGAAATTTTATTTACGTTTTAAAATGTAAGCAGTTCTGGTCTTGGAGGAGAAAACATCCAAAGGCCATCAAATCATGGTTGTGTGTAGGCCAACGGGAACTCCGTGGACTCAAGTTAGCAAAGATTTTTTTTCTTTACAGGAGACTTAATGGAGAATTTAGTTCCCCATCCTGAATTCAAGATGCTGGGAGTCCGTGACGTTCCTCGCATGTCTGAGAACTCACTGGCATACAGCACGTTTACTTGGGCTGGCCTCCTCAAGCGTTTGAGACAGATGCTCATTTCTAATGCGAAAATGGAAGAAGGTAAATGGTATTTTACAAATATGTAGCCCACAAGCTAGGAAAAATGCCTGTACTGGAGTATAAACTGGTTTGGGCCAGCTGAAATAATGGCCCCTTCTTCTGGCCAGGGAGGTGCCTGCAGAAACTCACCAGGACACCCCAGGAGGGCTTCTTAATCACTTTGCAGTGTCTTCCCCAAGACAATTTCAGATGAGTGGGACATTTATTTTTACTTACATTTTATTTTTGTCAAACTAATATATGGACAGTTTTTTAAAATCAAGTAGTCAAAACTCATTTAAGTGTACTCTTAAGTCCATTTTAATTACAGATTTATATTGTAAAATATTCACAGATTTTATGTTTACATATATTGCATTATATGTATATCTTAATTTTTTTTAAAAGACAAGTAATTGTCCCACATGAATTTCTTTTCTTTTTCTTTTTTTTTCAAGATTTTTATTTATTGCCCTGGCTGGCATAGCTCAGTGGATTGAGCTCGGGCTGCAAACCAAAGTGTCGCAGGTTCGATTCCCAGTCAGGGTACATGCCTAGGTTGCAGGCCATGGTCCCCAGCAACCGCACATTGATGTTTTTCTCTCTCTCTCTCTCTCTTTCTCCCTCCCTTCCCTCTCTAAAAATAAATAAATAAAACCTTTAAAAATATATTTTTTTATTTATTCATTTATATATAAGATTTTATAAATAAAATCTTAAAAAAAAGATTTTTATTTATTCATTTATATATAAGATTTTATAAATAAAATCTTAAAAAAAAGATTTTTATTTATTCATTTATTTTTAGAGAGGGAAGGGAGGGAGAAAGAGAGAGAGAGAGAGAGAGAGAGAGAGAGAGAAACATCCATGTGCGGTTGCTGGGGGCCATGGCCTGCGATCCAGGCATGTACCCTGACTGGGAATCGAACCTGTGACACTTTGGCCACATGAATTTCTAACGAGGGAAAGAGCAGACCCTTGTGCTAGACTCTCCCCCACCCAGCTGATGCCCTGCTTTCAGTGTTTTTAGCTGCTTCTTCTGGAATTTGCTTCCAAAATCTCATGCTTATATGGTTACTTGTTTTATTTTCCAGGTTTAGATTTATCAACTGCCTTTCTGATGTGAAAATTGGGGATGGAACCTTCTTACACCCCTACACACACACACACACACTTTTGGGTTAGATCCGTTTTCAGTGTTTGAATTACTTTTGCTGTGTAGCTATCATTCACCATTGAGCTATGTACTATACGATATATATACACAGATTACATTTTATTTCATATAAGAGTTTATTTTTTTCCTTCTAGAGTTAATAATTACATTTATTTGGTTGACAGTCTATGTACCTATCACTAATATATCCCTAAACTTTTTCATAAAAATGAATCCCATCTCCATGTGTTCAAACCCTCATGAAACCCAATACTTTCATTATCTGCTTGGCGCCGTTGCAGAGGGAGACCTTCCTCCTCCCGTCCAGCCGCACTGCTTGCTTTCCCGGCTCAAAGGGCAACCACTGGCATCTCTGCCCCATTCTGTCCTCTCTCCCATTTCCTGGGCTTCATACCTTCCCGTTTCTATTGATAGACCACACCCTCCGGGAGTGTCTTAACAAAGTTCAGAGAAGGTGAAAATTTTAAGGCTGCCGATATCATTATTCTGCCCTCACAGGATGGCCAAGTATGGGGTTCAAGCGGGGGGGGGGTCATTTTTCCTCAGTATTTTGAAGGCATTGTTCCCTTACCTTACAGCTTCCAGGGTTACTTCGATCTGATTCCTACCCCTATTTCGTTTTCTCTTGAATCTGTTAGGATTTTCTCTGTCTTTAGCACTCCAGAATTCCTTAGTGTGGACCTTTGTTTTATCTCAGTAGGATGAAAGCAGTTGTTGTTGTTGTTTTTTAATCTATTTTGTTTCCTGCTATATCTTCAGAGCCTGAAAAGCAGCCCAGCACAGGCCAGAGCCTCAGTGGCTTAGCCTTTCCTGACCACCGACCTTCCAGGATGAAGGGGTGCACTCTCCCTGCCCTGGGAGTGGGCGGGTCTGGGGCTCTCACGGCTTCTCATACAGATGTTTAATCCTCCTCTTTCTTCCTCCGCCTGGCCTGCTTCTAGGACCTCCACTGTGGGCAGAAGTTGCAGCTTTCCCTGGTTGCTAAATTAGTAGCCACTGGTTCTTTTGCTTTCCAGCTTCCCAAACTTTGTTGCCATTATCTCCTGTGCCACTTCCTTTTTCTTGCTTATGCCTTTTAAAAATCCCTGTATTGTCTTGTTAGTGAGATTTGGGGAGAAAGTGGGGGTAAACTGGTGTGTGTTCAGTCTGCCATGTTTAACTGGAAATCACTACTATGTATTATTATTTTTTAATTTCATTTATTTTATTTTTTAGAGAGGGAAAGACACAGAGAAAGATCAGTGTGTGGTTGCTTCTCATGCCCTCCCATCTGCAACCCAGGCATATGCCCTAACTGGGAATCGAACAAGCGACACTTTGGTTCACAGGCAGGCACTGAACCACTGAGCCACACCAGCCAGGGCTTATGTATTATTTTTGTAGTATATGTTTTACCACAAATCACAATAACTTAAGTTTTAATACTATGAAAGTGGATTTCTTCTACATTTACTTGCAATACCTTATGTATTTTATTGTTAAAATTTTTATTGATTTTGAAAAGAGGAAGGGAGACAGAGAGAGAAACATTGATTTGTTGTTCTACTTATTTGTGCATTCATTGGTTGATTTTTATATATGCGCCCTCACTGGGGATCAAACCCACAACGTTGGCGTATTGGGATAATGCTCTAACCAACTGAGCTACCAGGCCAGGGCTTGTGATACCTTTTGGACTTTATTTTTTATTTTTTATTTTTTTTAAGATTTTATTTATTTATTTATTTTTAGGGAGGGAGAGAGAGAGAGAGAGAGAGAGAGAGAGAGAGAGGGAGGGAGAGAAACATCAATGTGCGGTTGCTGGGGGTTATGGCCTGCAACCCAGGAATGTACCCTAGCTGGGAATCGAACCTGGGACACTTTGGTTCCCAACCCGCGCTCAATCCACTGAGCTACACCAGCCAGGGCTCCTTTTTGACTTTAGATTATAGTGCCCGAGGTTTGGAGATAAGTGTATAGTTCACATCTTAATTTATAGCTCACATCCTGAATTTTTTTGGCCATGGTACATACCTGTTTTTCTAGTAATACCTGTTAACACCTCAAGGAACACAGTGTTCCTAGGGATGGTGTAAGATGTGCTGCTGCTCTGGGCTCCTAGGTAAATAAACCATGATTTGCTTAGTCATTTTCCTTTGAGGTACTTGAGGGTTTAAACATTTTTTTCACAGTTACAGATAAGAGCTTCGAACATAAAAAGTGTTTATATGTAATATATGGATACATAAGAATAAATATATATGTGCTACTAACCGGGTTGAAGAATAGAGTTTTAAAATGCTTCATGTGTTACCAGACTGTTCTGTATGAAGGTTGATCACACTAACTGATACTGTAATCAGCAGTACAGGTGTGTTCACATGTCCTAGTAACAGGAGGAACGAATGGCCCAAGAGGGAGCCAGGCACAACATCGTTTCTGCACCATCCGTTTGGTTATTAAGGTCAACCCTGTCCCATGTGGGAGGAGACCACACAAGAGCCTGAATTCCAGGGGGCAAGGATGCTTGGGGTGCATCTGAGAGGCCTGCTACCACTCTCTGCCCTCCCATCTGCAGAATACATCGAACCCCTCCCAAGGCCCCCGGAAGCTCTGTCCGATTAGCATAGCAGCCTGAAGCCCAGGATCTTGCTATCCAAAAACAGGTCCAGGTGTGAATTTATACTCCTCAGGTGAGATTTCTTCACTATAGCTCTTAGGATACAGCTCCTGCTCCCTGATCCCAACAGACAGTGGGAGACCAGGCATAGGACAACTGGTAGACACTCCGTTTCAAAAACGGGCACATGGAAGGCACACAGGAGTCACTGGGCTGGGACAATTCATCAGGCACTTGCTGGCAGTGTCTTGATTAAAATGTAAGGCCTGGGAAAAACTTCCCATGGCTTTTGGCTTGGCCCTCTGAACCAGCTAAATTACACTTTCACTTGTTTATTTATTTTTGTTTTATTTAAAACATTTTATTTTCATTTTCTTTTAATGTATAAAGATTTTATTTATTTTTAGAGAGAGGGGAAGTTGGGGAGAGAGAGAGAAACACCAGTGCTTGAGAGTTGATTGGTTGCCTCTCATGACTGACTAGGAATCGACTGGGCGACCTTTTGGTTCTCAGGCCGGCATTCAGTCCGCTGAGCCACACCAGCCAGGGCAAAAACATTTTATTTCTAAACTTTATTTCATTAGTTGATTTATTTTTGCTAGTTTGAATTAATTTATGCATGTGGGAACTAGAAAGAGGTCTGAGGGTATCTATAAATGGACTTTTCAGAAAATAAAACTGGCATCACATTATATGTGTTTTTTTTTGTTGTTCTACAACTTTTTTCAACATAACAATATTTTGTGGTCTCCTTTCAAATTTAGTACAGTTGGCCCTGACTGGTGTGGCTCAATGGGTTGGGCCTTGTCCTGCAAACAGAATGGTCGCTGGTTCTATTCCCAGTCAGGACACGGGCCTGGGTTATGGGCCAGGTTCCCAGTTTGGGGCGTGTGAAAGGCAACCAATCAGTGTTTCTCCCCCTCTATGTCCCCCTCCCTTCCCCTCTGTCTAAAAATACATAAATTAAATATATACTTTAACTGGCTTCATATCCTTTTTCTTTTTGAAACTTTTTGATGAAGTCTCACCTTTATTTCAGAGTAATGTCAGGTGATGACTTACCTAACTGCAGCTTTGACAGCACGCAATGCACTTCGCAATGATTTCACTGACGTGGAACCCGCATGCCCTACGCTCCACCTGCATGAGTGCACTGCCCAGCGATGTTTCCGCAGGTTGACGGAGCTGTGTGAGCACTGTCACAATCCAGTGCTAGAACAGTCCCACCACTCCAGAAAAGTTTCCGTGTCCATTGGCATACAATCACTCCTTTGACTCCTAGCCCCAGACAACCCCTGATGTGCCTTTTGTCCTTATAGATATTGCCCATGTTGGACATTTCATACGAATGGAATCACACAATATATAGTCTTTGGCGTTTGACTTCTTTCACTGAGCCTAATGTTTCTGAGGTTCATCCATGCTGTAGTACATGCCAGTCTCTGTGGGGACACAAGTTTCAGTCTCTTGCAGATATGCCTTAGAGTGGCACTGCTGAGTCGAAGGACAAGCACCCCCATTCAACTTCTTACAAATTGGCTAAATTCTTTTCCAAAGTGGTTGCGCCATTTTGCATTCCCACAAGTGGTTTAAGGTGGTTTTGGTTTTTCCACGTCCTTCCCAACATCCGTCTTTTGGATTAGAGCCGTTCTAACAGGTGTGCATTGTGTCTCCTTGTGGTTCACTTTGAGTTTTCCTGATGACAATGATGCTGGGTATCATTTCATGTGCTTATCAGCCGTCTGTTCATCTCCTTTGGTGAAATTTCTATTCCAGCACCTTTCTAATTTTTAAATTGGCTTGTTTGTCTTACTGAGTTCAGCATGCCAGAATTTTTTATTTGTTGTATTTCTATTTTTGCTGAAAATCAGTGTTACTGCGCACTCAATTTTACCCCTGTCCTATTGTATAATTTGAGTATTTTCATCATATTTCCACATGGCTAGTAAATTTGCAATCCTATTTTGGTTTTGTGTGTCTATATCTCTTAACACTTTGTATGTGTTTTGCTTATTCGTAACCATATGTAGAGTGAAGTTCGGCTTTTTTCAGTGTATAGTTCTATGAATTCTGACAAACTTACAGTGTGTGACCGTTACCACAACTGAGACAGAGTATTTTCGTCATCTCCAGACATTCCCTCATACCCGTTAGCAGACGATCTCTTCCCTCTACCTCTAGTCCCTGGCAACTGCTGATCTCAATTTTGTTCCTGTGGTTTTGCCTTTTCTAGAATGTCCTGTGCAGGGAATTATGCACTGTGTGGTCTTTTGAGTCTAGCTTGTTTCACTTAGCATAGTGCTTCTGAGATTTATCCATGTCGTTACGGGTATTGGAGTTAGCTCCTCTTTATTGCTGACTGAATTCCATCTTATGCACCTACCACCAACCTTTAATAGTTGGTGAGGAATGTTTCATGCCTTTCTCAGTAGAGTTTGGATCACTTTAGGTTAACCAATACAAATTTTTAAACTTTTAGCAGAAAAAAAGAACTTTTAGTAACTGAATAAAATTTTATGTAAAATACATACATTGTAATACATTTTTCCCTTGTTGTTCAAAGCCATTTATAAAATCTCGTTTTTGTTTGCTTTTGGTAGGTATTGATTGGCAGGTACAGCCTCCTTTATCAAGACCTCCTCCTCTTGGTAAAAGGTCCCTCAGCGAGCAGCTCCGCTTTAACACTTCCATCGCTAACCTGGTCGTCCTGCGTGGGAAAGATGTGCACAGTGCAGATGTGGGTAAGCAGCAGTAAAGATGAAAATTAAGATGTGCTTTTTGCATGTAAAGATGTCATACATGGTAAAAAAAAAAAGAGTCCCTGAATTTATTCTTAGAGAAAGGAAAATAGTAACTATGTTTTAGTAACAAAATGTAGCCATTGTATCAATTACTATGTGACTGAACACCAAAATAGAAGTGGTTAAAATAAGATACTAGTTTAATTCTTTCTTCCCGATATCTGGGTGTTCTGTTATCGTGACAATTCGGCTTCCTCCTTGTAGCCTAAGATGTCTGTTAGGGCTTCAGCCATCCAATCAGATATGAATGAGCAAAAAAGGACACACTGCCCCCTCCCGGGGCTGCACAGTGCACTCGTGTTTATATCTGCTTGACTGAGTCATGTGCAAAACCCAGCTGCAAGGGTCACCATGAGCACAGTTAACATTTGGGGGTTCCGTTATTAAAGAAGGGAGAACAGGTATTGTGGGACAGCTCGTGGTTCCTGTGCTAAGCATTTTGTTAAAATTTTCAGGAAGTTACTCTGGCCAGGGAGCTCAGTTGATTAGAGTGTCATCCTGATATGCCAAGGTTGCGGGCTTCATCTCTGGTCAGGGCACATGCAAGAATCAACCATTGAGCCCTGGCCGGTGAAGCTCAGTGGCTGGGTGTCATCCTCTCAACCGAAAGGTCACTGGTTTGATTCCGGGTCAGGGCACATGCCTGAGTTGCAGGCCAGCCCCCCAGTTGGGGGCGTGTGAGAGGCAGCCAATTAATATTTTCTTCTTTTTCTCTTCCTTCCCCTCTAAAAGTAAATAAATAAAACCTTTTGTAAATAAAAAATAATAAATATGAGTGATATTTGTTGAAGTGGAAAAATGAATCGCGACACAGGTGACTGGAAAACATGGGCTCCAGAAGAGCGTATGCACAAACTGCACACACGAGGGTCAGCGAACGTTCCTCATCATCTCCGGGTGGTGGCACTTCGGCTGTTCCGTTGACTTAAACATTTTCTTCATTGTACTTTTCTGAATGGTGTGAGTTATTTATTTTTATGATGTGTATAAATCATGTATCCAAAAGCAATATAAAACTAGCTTTATTTTTTATTTCTTAAAATTTATTTTTCAATATTAAGCTAGTTTCAAAAGGCAAAAGAAAAGATTTTTGGTGAAATGGATAAGCACATATTCCTTTATCAATGTGTTTTCAAAAATAATTATTTACCATGTGAACAATGGCTTATGTTGTCTTACTCTAGGGGGATTTAAAGATCCAGCTCTCTATACTTCCTGGTTGGGACCAGATAATGCTTTCAATGTGTGGAAAACCCAGCGAGCCTTTAGCAAGTATGAGAAGTCTGCAGCACTGGTCAGTAACAGCCAATTCCTAGTAAAACCACTTGATATGATTGTGAGCAAAGCATGGAATATGTTTGCTTCAAAGTAAGTAAATGATAAATCTACAAACCTTCCTAACCTTAGGCAGATAACATAATGCTAAAGCCCTGGCCAACTGGCTCAGTTGGTTGGAGTGTCATCCTGATGCACCAAGGTTGTGGGTTCAATCCCCAGTCAGGGGACATACAAGAAATAACCAGTGAATGCATAAACAAGCGGAACAACAAATCAATATTTCTCTCCATCTCTTTCTCTCTGTCTCTCTCCTTTCCTCTCTCTCTAAAAATCAATAAATAAATTTTAACAACACAAGGCAGGATCTGGAGTGTCTTAGTCCACTGAGGCTGCTTTTTCAAAAATAGGCCAGGTAGCCTATAAAGAATCAATTATTTATGTCTTACAGTTCTGGAGGCTGGGAAGTCCAAGATTAAGGTGCTGGCAGATTGGATGTCTGGTGAAAATGCACTTTCTGGTTCACAGATGGTGTCTGTTCTCTGTATCCTCAAGTGGCAGAATAGGCGAAGGAGCTTCCCTGGGCTCTTTGACGAGGGCACTGATCCCATTCATTTGGCCTCCACCCCTGTGACTTCATCGCCTCCCCAAGGCCTTACTTCCCAATACCATCACTTTGGGGAACACAAACATTCGGTCTGCAGCCTGGAGTAGGCATGGCTGCCACTTCGCAGGTGTGAAACTCGAGGCATATCCCTTCAGGCTTCGTGTCCTCGTCTGTACAGCGGGTCCGAACTGAGCGGCCCGGGGTGAGGATTAAGTGCGGTGCCTGACTAGCCAGTGGTCAGTCATTGTTGGATATTGTTATTACTGTTGTTGACTAAATTAGTTTCTAAATGAAAGTAGAAACTTCATTGTGAGACAAAGACAATAAGGAAGTTTTCTAAAGTCAGATCCTTGGAAGAATGGAAGAAATCCTGATCTTGCTCAGTTAGAAACATTGCTAGTGCCGCCCCACTCGATACTGAGAAATGTCCACCTGGCACTAAGAAATGTGCTATCGGGTTTCCTGACCTCTGCCACACTCACGGAATGTGGAAGTAAAGTTCCTCAAGTGATTGGACAAAGCCTTGCATTTGATTAGCCAGGATTCCCAAGCCCTGCCTTCCTGCATGTGGTCTTTCCAGAACCCCCACTCCTCAGGACGGGGAACTCTGTCCTTCCCCGCCTCCTTGTCTTCCCCCTCTCAGTAACTGGTAGCAGCTGCTGCTCCATCCGTTTAACTCATGTCTGCCCTGGCAACTCTCTTTAACATGTTTTCTCCAGCCTCAACATTTTGGGGAGTAGGGATATTAAGGGGAACCTGGCATAACTGCAAATTAAGAGTTGTCTGAAAAATGCTTGGGAGCCTTCACTGCGTTCCTAGAACTGCGTTAATGTCTTTCTACTGTTTCAAGCCTTAGATGAAAGTTCCCAGGCACTTTTCAGAGTTTGTGCTGAACCTGGTCATCTCCTGTGGAGTGTTGGACATGCGCTGGGTGGGCAGCCAAACCTGAACCTGCCTCTCTCCCTGTGTGCTTCCTGTCATCACTCTCTTGGACACTAAAAAAGGCAGGGAGCCTGCATCAACTTGGAAAGTTCGCTGATCTTTGGAACACACATTGAAGCAAATATAAAACTTTGAAGAGATTCTGCTGTCTTTAAATGTTCATGAGCTAGGAACTGTTGTTTGGTTTTAAGAGTTATTTATGTGTCTGGGATTTTTCATTTTACATTTTCTGTTTCTTTTACCAGGGCCTACATTCATCAGTACACAAAATTTGGAATTGAAGAAGAGGACTTTTTGGACAGTTTCACATTGTTAGAACAGGTTGTTGTCAGCTACTGCAACCTGTGACCTTGAACAGATGGCTCAAGGGAAAAAGTACCTTACGTCACTTTTGGACTAAAATATTTTCAGTACTGTTTTCCCTGTAAATTTTCAAATTTTGATCTTTTAAAAGCAGCCAGGTCAGATGTTGATTTCTTTTGCATACTGTGCCCACAGACAGGACAAAAACCTTTTAGATGGAAGACAGCATGTTTTCAATGAAAACATCTACTTGTTATTTTCATTTTTAGGAAAAAAAAATTGGTGCTTCTATAAAGAACTTTGGAAATACTTTGCTGAAATGCTGGAACTCTGGAACTGTGCAAAAAAGGGAACATTCTGTTTATTCTCTATATAGCTCTTTCCTCTTTTTTCCAAAAAGAATTCATGAAAGAGGAGCTAAACTTTCACAGCACAATTTTAAGCTAAGAAATTGCAATTCTGTATTTAAATGTATTTATCGTTGAAGTGAATGCTTTGAACCACAAGAGGGAGCTGTCGTTAAATGCTACAGGGTGAATGTGTATTTTGAATATTTTTATTCTATAACAGGTAACATTTTCTACTTCAGGCAGCTATTTAAAAATAAATGTCAGGATTTTGTTACTAAATCTACATCATGTGTAAGTATACAAAAGTAAATAAGTAAATGTTTCTTTTGTTTGCATTTCTTAAACTTTTTATATATCAGAAAGTTGGGTCAGTTTTTCTTTTAGATCTTAGAATGCCAAGGCAGAAACTGATTTTATTTGACTAGTGCTTTAAAATTACTTATAGTTATTTAGAAGATGGCTATATGCTTTTCAGTAAAAGGGGTAAGAACTTTCAAAAAATTTCACTAAGTTGAGAAAATCATCACCAAGGAAATACTGTGTCGGATGAAATTGGCACATCCAGATGTGAGTTTCACTCAGAAGGACAAAAACACAATTGGAAATTGGCAGCAGAGTGAGGGTAATGGTGTATTTCAATAAAACACATCACATGCAATGTATTAACAAATGTAAAATGGGAAACAAATAGGAACATTTGCCCTTTCTGCCAAATCTACCAGTGGTGAATTATTTTTATTTGGAAAAATGACAGTTCACAGCTTCACTGTTCTTCCTTTTCTTTCCATATGGAAATGATTACCTTTTTGCTGTTTTTGTTATCAACTGTTGCTATGATTTAAAATACTGAACCATATCTTATTTCTAAGGAATGTAAAAAGTGGTCTGTTCAGCCGCTAACAGGCACACCCCACTGCTGCATTTTGTTAACCCAAGTATACTTGAAAATAATTAGATCATAATTTTTACAAAATAAAGTTAAAAGTAATTGTTTAGCATTGAAGAGATCCAAAAACCAAAACAATTTCCCAAACTAGGCCAGCATTAATAAAGACCTGTAACTGAATGATCTTGCCACGGGTGAAGCTGGTTCTAAGGAAACTTGCTAAAAGTTGAGCTCAGAGAGAGTCAAAAGTTGAAATCATTTTGTATTTAAGAAAGGTACCCTGAGGTACCGTGGGGACAAGTATATTTCTAATGTGGCAACTTATGGAACCAATGACAGGTAAACATTAAAATAAACCCTAGTTAGAGCTCTGGATCCACTCGCTTAAGTGAGTTGATCCTTTTCATGGTCCACAGCTGCAGTATTTGATACATGTGGGTACCTAAATATTTGCAAAGTTGTTTTAAACATTTACATGGAAATATTTTTCCTTGTCTATTGGAATAATAATTTTTTTTTTTACTATTAGAGCTGGGATTTTGACTTAACAATTAACACAAAGAAGCTGGTCCCAAACTTCAAGCTAAGGGGTGGCCTTGGAAATGTACTTTGTGTGCACAAAACGGCCCATCAGCCAGGACGTCAGAACCAGAGCTTCCTGGGCATCCCGACCCGGGAGGTTTGAATATGTAGTTTCTTTGTTGGGGACCGGAGCACTGTTTCCCCCAGACACCGCCCCCCAGAGGCAGGATGTCCCCCTCCAGGCAGTGAGTACGGAGGCACACGGGGAAGGACCCTGCACTGGGAACTCTCAGTTTGTCCGAAACGTCTCCTCGCTGACTCTGCAGGGTCGACTCCTCCGTGCACATACCAGAGATTCTTCTGCCGACCACCATGTTTATCACACTTGAATTCCTGTCCATTTAAAAACATGCTCCGTATGTTCCTCTCCCATTATTCTCTCCCCATGAACCCCAGGTTTGGCAGTCAACCCTTTCCTGTTCTTCCACCTACCTACCTACCAAACACAGCTTTACCCCACTACCTCGCCATTTTGGGCAGCTAATCAGTTATCTAAGAGATATTTGCTTATCTTATCAATCACATTGTTTCCTAAGGGTTTTAGGAATGTGAGCTAAAAAAATCTGACTTTACATTTTTAACTAACTAATTGCCTTCTCCTGTATTCAGACGTTGCAGTGCCAGCCTTATAGATAGATGGAATTCCATTTCCACCAGCTGGGACGCTTGCATAAGAAGTTAAGATAAACAATGTGAATATTTCAAGTTTCCGGGGAACACAGTGTGGGGGTCAGTGTTGGCAAAGATGTGGCATTCAAGGGAAAGAAGGGGAAGGATAGAAAAGCCCAATCATTTGGACTCCAGGGAGCCAGTGCAGCAGGAAGAACCAAAAAGGAGTGTCAGGGGAACTGGTGGTGCCCCCAAAGGACCAATAATAGCTTTGCAGCATTTCAGGGGAAAAAAAAGGCTCTATGGTTTTTGAATTATGGACTTCCCTGATGATGAAAAACCTAAAAGCTTACAAGAATAGTTCAAGAAGAAACAATAAGCCCTGGCCGGGTAGCTCTGTTGGTTAGAGTGTCATCCTGATACGCCAAGGTTGCAGGTTCAATCCCTGGTCAGGGCACATACAAGGATCAACCACTGAATGCATAAATAAGTGGAACAACAAATCGATGTTTCTCTTTCTCTCCCTAGAATCAATAAATAATTTTAAAAAGAAACAGTAAGCTAAATTACATGTCACTTAGCAAATAATTCCATTTATCTCTTTTGCTCTTGATGCAGCAATGAGGTAGACACTTTTTCTGGCTCTCTTGTCCTATTTAAATTTAATTATTTACATGGTGAGTACATAAAAATTCAAAGATTATATACCCATGCTGTGCAGAGAGGTAGCCATTAGCCAATTGGGCTAGTGCTAAGTTAAAATATACATGGGGTTTTGAAGACAATATGAATAAAATAATGTAAAATCTTAATATTTTAAATTAATTGTTGAAATTGAATTACTCAAATTGGTACACCTGTTTCTTTTTAGATTTTAAAATGTAGCTTCTAAAATTTTTCAAATTAGGTATATGTCTTGCATTGTATTTCTATCGAGCAGAGCTACCCAACATTTCAGGAGCAGAGTCCTGGGAATTACAGAAACAAGCTGAGCATGCTTGTCCTCGCTGGGGGAGAGAGATCACAGACACGTGACAGCAAGAACCATGACACACACAAAAGACAGGAGCTTCCTTTTTGAAAAAATAGGCCTTTGCTTGAGCTCGGCTCCTGTGAACAGTATGAAAGAGGCAGGATGTGAGTTTAATTCCACAAACATCCTTTGAACACCTGCAAGGAAAAACACTGCTAGGACGGGAGATTTTAAAAATGAATCAGACCTGGCCCCTGCTCTCCAGTTCACCATTTCATATGTTCTTTCCTGCAGAGCATATGCCTGGCTCATGGCAGAGACTCCCTATTCCCCGCACGGATTAAGGTCAACGTCCAAACACCAGCGGAAGAGATATAAAGCTGAAACACTAAAGGCTCACCGTGAAGCCCATTAAAGCTCCCATGTTGGCGACAGATCTCACAGCCATTAGCTGAAACTAAGGGCCTGGAAATAGAACTATACTTCTAATTATTTTGTCTCTGAAGCCATCTTCTATCATTAAAAGCCCTTTAAGACAATATAAATTCAAACAATATGCTAAGAGAATGAAGAATTGCCTTTGTTTTGAAATTATTACCTATAATCTAAACTCCTTGCTCTGGGACTCCACGCCTTCCAAAGGGTGGCCGCTCCCTGTGTCCCGCGTTCCCGGCACCACGTGAGCTGCAGTGGCCGAGGCAGACGGAAGTGGCCGATGAATGCTGCCTGGAGAAACAATGGCTCTGTCTACGTGCTGCTGTTTCATTTTGTGCAGTAAGGACAGGGATGGAGCCATCTCTCACTGACCTGAAGATCCAGGTGGCACATGCCCCAGTGACCCAGCCTACCTGCTGTGCCCCCGTGCCCCACGCCCCCGCTGCCAGGCCCCTGAGACCAAGAAGAGGGAGCTCGGAGCATTTCTGAGCAGGACTGACAGGATACACCGGATGTCAGAGCAAATTCCTTGCGGGGAGTGTCTTTCTCAGGGGATTTACTCTTTTATATTGTGCATTTCTTTTGCTTGTATTCTTTTTTTTTTTAAACAAAGCCTTTAAAGATAAAATAACTCAAATGATTTGTAAAAGGATGTTAACACCTGGAGACAGTCTGAAGAACAGAGGAAGTCAAATGAATCAAAGGCAGTAACAAGGGGCGGAAGTAGTAAGCAGCATTGTTCGACGAACTACCACCAAAATAGTGCAGGAAGTACAGGATGCTTCAGGTTTGCTGGGGGTGGGGGGGCGGGGGGGAATTAAAGGCTAACTTGGTGATCCCTATCGCCTCACTGTATTCTTCTAGTATTCTTCTAATGGACACTGCCTACTCTAGGGAGGACTGTTACATGTACAACACACACGCACGCGTGCAGTCTGGGAGCAGCCTGAAAAGCAGTGTGTCAAGTCAGACAGCTTCTGCATATGGAAGAACGTTTTATTTCCTCCTTGCAGAGACAGGGATATACTTTATATTCCGATTCTTTACATCTGAAGGAAATGCAGGAATTCTGAAAATTTCTTTGATAACTCTGCTTTTCTAAAAGCACCCTTTTCAGCTTCCCATTTCCCCCAAAACTGTGCAAAGCACCCCCCACACAGGCTCTCATCAGACCGGCGTGGTTCCGTCCGACAGCGAGGAAGAGCGACTGCCCGGCTCACCCAGGCTTCGCCAACTGTGTGTCCGCCCGCCTGGGAGTGGAATACTCAAGTTCTGCATCTCTTTTCCACCAAAGGATTACTGCACAAGTAAATCTTTTCCTGAACCCCGGTTCTCCTGGTGAGTGGTGTAATTGTGGTCACATGTCATTTATTCTGAAGTCCCATCCAGCCAACTTCAAGAAGGATAACTCATTTCCTGAAGCATGTAAACAGCCCCAGCACCAAAGCAGCCAAATGGGAAGCCACTTTGACCACATGCTCTAGAAGGTGCAATAAAACTCTGATCCTGCCTTTTGGCTTGGCAAAGGCCGTTGGGACGGTGCCCTCGTGCTTACTCGGGACTACTTACGACATCGGGTTTTAGGTGGCTGCCCCTGCTGCCTAGGCTAGCACTACTGGAATCTTGGACTCTAGCAGAAATATACAGGAAATCACATTGCCAAACTTTTCTCCTTATAAAGACAGACAATCTATCCAGGAATTGCCATCCTCCCCGCTCTCGGAGGGAGGAGCCCCAGGGTTAAGGAAGCAGGATGCACCAGGGGAGAGGAAATTTAAAGCGATTTCCTCTGGCGCCAAGATGCAGTCACAGTGCCACCTCCTCCAGAACAGAGCTGC